GGCGCTTTGGGGGTTCTGGGTGGAGGCTGACACCGCCACGGCAGTTACAGCCGGTCTAAAGATACCGGGGGGGGGACTTCCGAGTGCGGTTCTCGGTGGCTGGCAGACGCCGGACTGAAGGTGGTGGTAGCGTTGCAAACCCTTTTCTCCGATTACCTTCTCCACAGAAAAGTGGTGACGATCGCCAAGTCGAAGAAGTTTCGGGATCATCACGGGAAGGTTGTGCTGGAGGGTCACAGGCTGATCAAGGACGCCCTGGAGGCAGGAGCTGTGCTGCAGAGTCTCTTCTTCAGCACCGTGGGGCACCTGAAGGAGCTGCCCGAGGCAAAGCTGAAACGAGCCAACTTAGTTAAGGTGAAATTTGAAGACATTAAGAGCTGGTCTGACCTCGTAACTCCTCAGGGGCTTATAGGTAAGTTGCCTTAGAAACAGTCATGACGCTGCTCAAAGGGAAACTTATTTCACACTTAGTAAATGGATAACGACTCGCTCTTCATAACCTTCCCCTAGACGGTCGGGCAGTGTGTCAAGAGTGGCATAACTTGAGAGAGTACCCTTTTATTTGGCCTGCTGTGGTAACTGTGAAAGTGGCTCCTACGGTACGCTGAAGGTGATAATGCTCATTTTTAATAGCACGCCACTCCAGCTCTGCTGGGAGATAGTTCTCCTTGTCAAGCGACAAACTCTTCTCAAACTTCTTTTAAGCAGTGCTTTTCCTAAGAGACGCTTCCTCCAGCACCTCTTCAGTGAAATTTGGGCCAACTAAATGAGAGACGGCCCTTTCCTTGGGGTGTGTTAGTGCCCTGGTTTCGGCAGGGATAGAGTTAATTTCCTTCCTAGTAGCTGGTACAGCGCTGTGTTTTGGATTTAGGATGAGAACAATGTTGATAACACACCGATGTTTAGTTGTTGCTGAGCAGTGCTTACACTAGTCAAGGACTTTTCAGCTCCCCATGCTCTGCCGACTGAGAAGGCTGGAGGTGCACAAGAAGCTGGAGGGGGCAGGGCCAGGACGGCTGCCCCAAACTGGCCAAAGGGACATTCCATACCATGGGACGTCATGCTCAGCATATAAAGCTGGGGGAAGAAGAAGGAAGGGGGGGACGTTAGGAGTGATGGCGTTTGTCTTCCCGAGTAACCGTTACGCGTGAGGGAGCCCTGCTGTCCTGGAGATGGCTGAACACCTGCCTGTCCATGGGAAGCAGTGAATGAATTCCTTTGTTTTGCTTTGCTTGTGTGTGCGGCTTTTGCTTTACCTGTTAAAC